GACAAATGGAAATTTGCTGTCATTTGAACCTCGACGATTCCGTCCAAGCATGCTTGCTAAGGTGGATCCTAGAACTTCAAATACAAATTCATGGCAAAGATGCATTTGTAGCCTTTTTCACCAAAGTCAACCAAGTGGAATTTGATAATCCATATTAGTATGCTTTTTCTTGACTTCGAAAAACTGAGCGATAAAGCTGAACATATTTTATTATTGGTAAAACATGAGTAGAACTCAATTATCTCTCCCAATCACTTGCTAAATCTTCAATTAATCGATCCAATAGATTCACGAGGTGGCAAAGCAACCAATTTTTAGTATATATAAGAGCATCCAGTACTCGTGTTTACATTCTCATCAAGTTCAAATTGAAAATCCACTTGTATCAACGAGTATGTGGCAAAATAAAAGACATAACACCTAAAAGAGAAACTATATATACACTTGCCATTTCCACTGCAAGAAGGAACTTAATTAGCATCCTTTCCACTAACTTGAACATATATAGATTTTGGTTTGATAATGATGAAGACACATGTTGTAGCACATTTTAAACAATGTGAGAGCAATTTCCCTCTCCAATATATGCACATGAAATAAGTAATTCTCCCTCCCTCTTCCAATATAAATAGGTACAGTCAAGTCATTGGGGAAACACCTTTTAGTCATTCTTGCAACTCTGCTCCCCACTTGTGCTCTCGTTTTTTTGGATGGAAATAAAAGGAATTTTTTATTCCATTCTTATGATTCATAGTTGCACTCAACTTCTCCATGACAAGCTTACAAAAACACGTGCATCCTATAGCTTTTGATAGCAATTTACCCTATTATTAATTTGCTCATATGCCCTACGAGATATCACCATTCCTATAGTTACTGATTTATAGAAGCTATTGGTATGTATTCAATCATAACTCTAAAAATGCTACTTTTTCCAGCAGAAAGACCATAAGCATCTTCAATTCAAGCAACTATTTGCCACTATTTTTTCGGATAATCTCGACCAAGATATCCCAAATTTCTGTACTATCACTTCTCAACAGCAATATAATCGGAGGCGGATCCAGAATTTAAGGCTTATGGGTTCCTATCGTAATTTTAGATTAATATGCAATAATATATAACTGGGTTCACAGTTAGATATTTACAAATATTTAGTGAATTTCTTAATATAAATACAGGGTCTACGCAAAAGTTATTGGGTTCCCAGGAACTCGTATTGTAAGCTCTAGGTCCGCCCCTAAATATAATTACCCCATGGCTGTAGAATTAGAAGAAACTCAACAAAGGAGTACTAAGGAAGATATTTCACCTATCAAGAGTAGGAGGGTTGTACGAGTAAGATTATAAGCTAGTCAAACTAGCCAGCTTGTAACTCTTTTCTAACTTATTTATATGTTTGGGAACATTAAAGTTGTTTATAAGCCAAAATTAGTCAAAAGCCATAAGTTGGTCATCTACAACTTACGATATTTCAGCTTATAAGCAGGGCAAATCTACATGGAGTATGGTGCACGCGAACCCATGCTCTCCCTTCCAACCATATATATTACTATTGCAAATCTTATGAGTTCGGAAACAAAGTAACGTGTAAAACTCGAAAAAGAAACCAAAATAATGTACAAAAATAGGACAATATTACATATATCACATGTCATGCATGTGTTATATAAGTGTAGGCTAACAACCCTTCACTAAACAGACTTTGCTGCATAGTTGGATTATGGGGTTAATTTTATTTTGAAATTTTTTTTAGGAAAAAATAAAAAAAAAATTGACGCACTGTTCAGAATTGAGCCTAGGACCAATGGTAGGTCAAGAAACCAAAGGGACCACCGGACCAGGACACCCATGTTTGTCAACAACTTCAACCTGTTATAATTTTACTCCTATTCTTTTTAAAACAATTATTACATCATATAATTTTGTAAAAATATCCAGCGAATCAGTGTGGGATTACACCACTTTCATGAACGTAAATCCGCCCCTGAACCCAGTCTAATGTCCGTTAGCTAAGTTAGATGTGACGACCCGGCCGGTCATCTTATGTATTGTAGCCTTGTTCGCCTATTTATTACTTATTCTATGTTCACTTGTGGTCAGAGGTGCACCTATAGTGGAGGATGCGGGATCACCGGATCCCGTTAGGCCCAACAAAAATCATGTATATATAGATTTTATGTGTACTGTATATCCCGATAGGACCCCTTAAATAATTTACTTGGGCCCCTAAAAACAAAAGCTGGTCGGCAACAGTGATTGAGCTGCTAGTTTAAGCACCTTTCCAGCTTTCCTTAATCCTTACTGGTCTTGTGCTCGAGACCTAGTTCAAGCAAATCTTTTTTTTTCTTTTATATTTTTGGATTCGATGATAGTTTATATCCTTTAACCTTGCAGGTTTCGAAACCTTGGCCTCTTACGCAAAATTGAAGGCTTCATTACAAACCTAGTAGACCAGTTTTGTCANATATATATATATATATAAAAGAAAATTAACGAAGTAGTGTCGGACGACACTGCTTCTATCAACATTGCTTCCCTATTTTGCAAAGTAATCTTTCGCTCTTTGCTTAGTGCTTTTTCTTTCTTTTAAAATTTCTGGTTGTTTATATATTGCGGATAAGTTGTCATACTTATTAATTTCTTAAAGAACTGCACACAAAAAGGTTAGTGGTGCGTCGCGCTCAAATCTTGGGTTCGCCTCTACTTGTGGTTACATGACTTGCCGGAGTGGTTGTTTAGTTCCGGGGATGTTTCAGAGTAAATTGAGACATTAGTGCAATTGTTGGAAGCTTAAGTTGGAAGAGTTGACAGAATGTTGACTTTTGTCTAAACGACTCCGAAATGAAGTTTTGATGGTTCCGATAACTTCGTATGTTGATTTTGGACTTAGGCGTATGTCAGAATTTGGATTAGGAAATCCGTAGATCGTTTCGGCTTGAATTGTCGAAAGTGGAAAGTTGAAGGTTTTGAAGGTTAAGAAATTTGACCGAGAGTTGACTATGTTGATACCGGGCTTGATCTTGGTTCCAGGAGTTGGACTAGTTAAAAAACAAAGATACTTGTGTTTAATATTAAGTTTTTAAAGCTTATCTGTTAATATTATTTATTTGAAAGTATTAATCTGATGCGTCATCATGTTAAATGTGGGAATTTTACTTATTCGATTAAGGAACATGGTTTGGCTAATAAATCTATGAGCTTTAATTTTATAAACTTTAATTATAACCATTTCATTAGGCATGGTTAAGAATGTTGACTTGAGATTTTTTTTTGAGATTTGTTCACAATAATATTATTGACTAATTTAATAATGCTACCTATATATCTTGAAAGTTAACATTAAGAAAAAATTTAAATGTACGAATATATTATAAAAATAATAAATTAAACATGATTAAGTTATTTTAATTATAAGTATAATATCTTGGTAAAAATATGTTATATAGGGGTATATAATATAGAAGGTATTGCATAAATGAGAGGATTTATAATGTTAATATAATAGGCTTTTTAGGTGAGAGTTTTATAAAATTTGGTCAAAGTGGCTATTGTGATAACTAAAGCATAATAAAATAATTTTTGTGTAACAAAAGAAAGAAGTATGACTTTTGGGTAAGAAACACAAAGTTGCATAACTTGACTTTTACGTAATAAAAAAAATAACTTTTGGATAATGAATATAAAACTGAATGATCACCCATGATATTTACTCCAAAATTCATAAAGATCTTGAATTTTGACAAAGAAGAACCGATATATTGATATTCTCTTCAACTCTGTATCCTAACTCAGGGCTTTGTAATTTCCTCTAGTCTAAGCAAATCTATCATAATTTTGGCACATCTTCTTGGTGAAATTATTAATAAAATTTATTTTGACTCATCAAAAGAGCAACTGGAGCTGACTAAGGACATGACCCTTGATAGGAGGGTGTGGAAGTCTAAGATTAGGGTAGAAAGTTAGTAGGTAGTTGAAGCGTTTCTCTTTGTCTTACTCAGTTCGCTAGCATTAATGTTAATATGATTTCCTTTTATTCATAGATTGCTATTATTACCTAGAGTTGAAGTGCTTTCTTGGCTTCATTCTTAGCTTTATCTTCTTGTTGTTCATACTTGTTGCCACTACTCTTTTCATCCTTTCTCCAATCGAGGGTCTATCAGAAATAACCTCTCTGCCTTCCCAAGATAGGGGTAAGGCTGCCTACACCTTACCCTCCCAGACCCTACTTGTGAGAAATCACTGGGTTTGATGTTGTTGTTGTCACCATATCGAAGAGCCATCACTATGAAATCAGTCAAACTTGAGAAAATCTACTCTAATAGAAGTTGCAGTGGCTCCCCCAGGTAAAAGTATAAATTGGAGATCTCAAACAGTGAATGCCAAAATATAGGTCATGACCACTCATTCACTATAGCCCATGGCCACTCAATCAGACGGTGAAGGGGAAAAAGAAGGTCAATAAAGCAAGCATAGTTACAGTCAATTACGACTACTTAATATTAATATCAATCTATTTGTTGTGGCAACTATTTGACATAATAGTTTCTGAAAACGAATGAGCCATTGTTTCAGACACCAGCAAGAAAATAGGGCAGGGTTGGCATTCAAGAAAGAAGCCAAAAATATACAATGTATAACAGAGAAATTTAGGCAGAAGCTGATCATTCAAGAATAAGAAGCTAACACATTGAGAACAACAAACAAAAAAGTGATAGTAATCCTGCTGAACTCCAAGCATAAGGACCTAAACAATGAACTGAAAGTGTGTATCAACAACAAAAATAAGAAAAACAAAATGTTCGTTATCATGAAACGGGATTAAATATCCCAATCCCCCGGCATCCTTTTACGTTTGAAGGTCTTAACTCAAAAACCTATTCTTGTGACATCGGGTGTTTCATATCTCCGGAAAAACTGAACACAAGAAAAACATGGTTCCCAAGGGAATAAGCTAAGTTTAACCATACTCACTGCAATTTATCACCGGGACTGAGAAAGGCAAAAGGACTAATGGGGTCAACTATTATGCAGAACAAAGAACAATGCAGCATTGATTCAGATTTCAGCCACATCAGTATAACAAAGTTAATCACGTTTCAGTAACTTTACAAGACATAATACAAGATCTCTGGCTAAGTGATCAACCAAAGGTTGAACTCTCCATCAAAGTAAAGCTCTAAAGATCAAAGGAAGGCTTAAACAGCACTTCACACATCACTATCAACATAAGCCTTCTCAAGGGCTTTCTATGAATGAGTTAAAAAGATTCTAACTGAACATTTTAGGAATAGACCTGATGATCACGGGTAGTTTTGCGTATCTTCTGATTCCTTCACCTCGTCTCGACATCAGGCAACATGTTAAAGTAACGACGAGTGCAAGAACCCGACCTCCAATAAGGCCAACTAGAACAACCAAAAGGAGAACAATATACATAGAATTATGCTCTATTTCAGTAAAACCATCTTCCCCGACTATGGTTGCCTTATCAATACCTTTAAATGATCCTCCAACGCTAGCATCACTAAGTCCATTAGATGATTCTCCAGTACTACCAACAACCTCAACAATATCTGTTTTATGATCTATTCTACTTGCCACCGATGATACATCGGATTTCATTTTCTGTTCACAATTAGAACCTACAATTTCATTCCTTCCTTCATTGAGGATCATATGATGACTCTCCGATGCTGAACCTTTCTTCTTTCTAAACTTCTTCGGAACAAGCTTCTTCATTTTCGATTTCATCTTCGCCCTATGAGATTTCTTTTCCTTGGATTCAGATAAATCACATCTAAATTCCTCTCCTTTCTCCATTACAACCCCCTCTACATCCACTCCTTCACATTTCAATTTGCCATCACAAATACATTGACTTTCCTCTTCATAAGGCTCCTCTAGAACTTCAATTTCCTGAAATTCAGAACCAGCATCCTTTGACAATTCATGATCCCACAATGGCGCCTTAAAAACACAATCTTCATCTACCTCTAATTCAGCCACTTTGGCCCTAAAGATCCCCTGTATCACCAATCCAACCCTCCTTTGTACTGGAGAAAAGAATCCATACAAACTTTTCCCTAAATATTCCAAGAAAAACAACAAGAAGGCCGACACAGTAATCCCCAGCACAAGATTATTCATCCCTAGAACCAAAACCACCACCATAAACATCTTCAAAACCCCCACTACCAACCCCTGATTCATACTTAAAAGATCAGATTTTTTTTCAACTTCAGGGATCAAAGGGGAAACCGTATCATCAATCAGCCCCTCAACAGAGGAAGTAATAGTGATAGGAGAAGGGGGTGGTGGGGGTGAAGGAGAGGGAATTGGAGAGCACAGAGAAAGAGGTTTCTTGGTTTTCTTCTTGAATCTAGAGCGATTCTTGACGACAAGATCAACAAGGGAAGTAGGGAAACCGGTTTCCACCATAAGAGGAGATGATCCAGCACCTCTTTGAGAATTCATTACATGCTCCTTCACCATTTGTGATAGACTTGCCCCCTTCTTCACCTTCTTCCATGGAAATAAAGGCATTCTTCAATCCACCCTTTTCTTCAAAGAAAATTGAATTTGGGTTTTTGTTAAAGGGGATAAATCTCAAGGCTTTGAATCAAATTCAAAGCATAACAGGTGGAGATGCAATTTCCATACATATACACCGACCCAGAAAAAGGGAAATCTTGAAGAAAAAAACCAAGGAAAATTACAAGGGGATGAAGAGGTTGCGGTTATGATTATAGGGACATGGCATGATCTTGTGACAATAAAAATAATTAATAATAATAGGAAAAGATTTATTGTCTGCCCACGCGTATGTATGTAGGTAAAAATAGAAGAAAAAGAAATTGAAGGGACAAACAAACAATCCAAGAAGAGGTGGTTCTTTACCCCCAACTAATCAATGGATTGTGTTGTTGGTAAAGAGAAACCAAAACTGAAACCCTATTTAGCAGATTTTAAGGGAGGGGTACACTTCCTTTAATGGTTTGCTTTTGTTTTTTTCTTCCCGACATTAATGCTAAACCAAAGTCTTTTAGGACATGGTTAATTAAATATTTTTACTTTTATTAGGAAAAACTACCGAAAAGATTTTACTTGTTTCAAAAACATGTCAATTTCGTTACAAACTGAAAAGGTTATTAATGATTTTCTATACAAAATTTGTTTCTAATAAGTAGTACTGTTTATTGAAGATATTGTTTAAAAATAAATTTAAGCACCGTTTAAAAATTAATGTCACCTAAACTATTGTAGTCAGTCAATGGAGAATTTCAGTAGATTTTACGCTGGACTTGGTCAACACTGGTGTGAGCTTATTTTGACCTTAAATAATTCATTTTCCACATTGCTTGACCACCAAACTAGCATTTTTAATTCTGCCGGCAATCATACGCAGTACTTATTAAAGACACCAGCATACGTACTTTGCTGGGATCACTTTAATTTATTTATTTTTGTTTGTCTGAAATAAATTATGGATGAGATGACTGATACTTTTAATAAATAAAAAGCAAAAGGGATTAGACCAAAATTTCTACAAGAATTTATCTTTAATTGTCCGTTCTTATCAGTGATGTATAATTTAGAACTTGACAAATGGTGCGGTCCTACATAGCAGTCCAATGGCGGTTGACATAATTTCCATTCAGAAATTTAACATCTAATTTGAACTTTCAATGAAACGGGTTGAAGAACCTCTAGCTCCGCCCATGCAGTCGTCAATTAGTTTGTTTGGTTTCCTAGTTTCATCTTTCTTCAGCTTTTGTAATTTAATTTCGTCAGTAAAACTTAATAATAGTAAGGAAAACGGTAAAAACAATTAGGTAGACGTAAAAATTAAAGTATTACTTGATCTTAATTTTAGGCTGAATTTTTTAAAGAAAACAAAATGCAATATATACAACAAAATGAGGTATTGATAATGGCAAAATGCTAAAGGAAGCCCTAATTTGTTAGACAGTATGCACATTTGTGTTCAAATAAATATGCACATTCGATTTTGAGTATGGGTTATTAAAAGGAACAAGTAATTATTGAACTGAGTGCTAATAGCTTTACGGGACATACGAACATCTCAAGATCCAACCGTAGGACAACATGTCACGATACAAGTTCTATTTCTAGGAAAAATCCAATTTTCACATTTGGAGGAGATGAGCACTGTGAACCAATAAATACCACCAATGATGATGAACCAAGCAAATAACTTCATAATTTGGAATGTACACGGAGCTAACAATAATACATTCAGGAGGAACTTTAGAGAAATGTTAGATTTACACAAACCTTGCATGGTTACACTCTTAGAGACTAGGATGAATAATCATATCCTCATCCTTAATGACTTCAACTTCACTAAAATGATTGAGATACCAGCGGAAGGAAGGTCTGGTGGGATGGTCATCCTTTGGGATCAGAACATGGTTACAGTTCACGACCTTCACTCGAAAAGACCATGTCATCCCCGCAATAGTTGAGATACTTCCCAAACGCATTTCTTGGTTATTTAGTGCCATTTACACAAGTACTTGTAAGACTACTAGAAATATTATGTGGGAAAACACATGTCTGCTACCTACAATGGACCATGGCTAATTGGAGGTGATTTTAATGATATTCTTAGCTCTAATGAAAAGTTTGGTGGAAAGTCTGTTAGTCTAAATAGATGCTCAAAACTTTGGTCTAGTATTAACATGTGTAATTTAATTGATTTAGGCTTCAAAGGGTGCAAGTTTACATGGTCAAACCACAGGAAGAGAAGAAAGGGCCTCATTACGGAGAGATTAGATAGAGTCTTAGCCAATGAAGAGTGAATTAAGTTATTTCCGCATAGATTAAGTTATTTCCGCATAGTTCTATTGTTCATTTACCAAAAACCTACTCCGACCACAATCCCATATCATTTAAACTTTTTCCTAACCCCTATAGATCTTCGATAAAACCTTTTAGGCTAGAATCTATATGGTGCTCACGCCCTGAGTTCATTAAAGTTGTTACTAGTAGTTGGAAAAATAGAGACATAAATAGTGCCATTTCTAGGTTCGAGTATAATGTCAATATTTGGAAAAATGGAAGTTTTTGGGAACTTTTTCCATAAGAAAAGAAAGCTACTAGCAAGATTGAATGGTATTCAGCGATCCTACAATAATTCCACTAGTACCTTCATCCAAAATCTAGAAGCCACCCTCAAGTCTGAGTATAACAATATCCTCAAGCTCGAAGAGGATTATTGGAAAATTCGATCTAGGGTATCTTGGTTAAATGATGGCGATGCAAATACAAGATTCTTTCATCTCACGGCTACGAACAGGAAAAGAAGAAATAGGATTTCTTTCTTTAAGAATGAGCAAGGCAACTGGATTGATGACCAAGAGGCCATTATGAGTCATACTCTAAGTTTTTTCAATGATATGTTCACAACATCTCACATGTATACAAATTGGAGGAGTATATCTACAGACCCAACGACTTTTGATCACCTAGATTTATCCATCTTAGATAATCACCTATTAGATAGTAAAATTACTAAGGCTCTTTTTTCTTTTAAATCCTTTAAGGACCCAGGACCGAATGGTCTCCACCCCTTTTTCTTTCAAAAATATTGACACATCGTAGGGAGATCAGTTACGGATTTTTGCCATAAGATTTTTGATAGTCAACATGTCCCTGAACCTGTTAATAATACCTTCATCTGCCTCATACTAAAAGTTCCCAATGCTAATAATCTTAAGAACTTTAGGCCAATAGGATTATGTAATACTATTTATAAAATTATCACCAAAATTATTGCCAATAGAATTAAACCTTTCCTAAACAACTTAATTGGTCCCTACCAATCAAGTTTTATAAAGAATAGAAGAGCTAGTGATAATGCTATTATTATCCAGGAAATTATCTCTAAGTTTAATAAGACAAAAGGGGCAAATGCTACTATGCTTTTGAAAATCGACCTTGAGAAAGCATTTGATAGACTTGAATGGTCTTTCATTTATCGTACCCTTTATTAATTTAAATTTCCTCCAAAAATTAAGAAACTTATCATGTCGTGCATCTCTACTAGTAATATATCCATCCTGGTAAATTCTCCCCCTCTAGAGGCATTAGGCAGGGCAACCCGATATCACCTTATATTTTCATATTGTGCATGGAAATGGTTTCTCGTCATATTTGCCATCAAGTAGACATTAAGGCTTGGGACCCTATCAAACTCACTACAAAGGAACCCCATTTTTCTCAACTTTTCTTTGCGGACGATCTGACTCTAATGGCAAAAGCTAATATCAAATCTAGCATGTCTATCCATAGATGCCTTAATTATTTTTGTGAATTATCTGGTCATAAAATTAATTACTCCAAGTCAAAAATCATCTTCTACAAAAATTGCAAAGATTATATAAAAAATAATATTACCAATATCTTTAATATGAAAGTCAGTAACACCTTTGGAAAATATCTTGGTTTTCCAATCCTTGATAAAAAGCCTAAGACTACTAATTTTCAATATATTTTAGACAATATGCGCACTAGACTCGCTAATTGGAAGACAAACTGTTTGAATATTGCTAGTAGAACTATTTTGGCTACAAGTGCTTTAAATAGTATACTAAATCGTACAATGCAATATACCATCTTGCCAACAAAAATCCACAACCTTATTGATAAAGTCCAAAGGAATTTTATATGGGGCTCCACCGAAGATAGGAAAAAACTCCATCTGCTAAATTGGGATACTATCACTAAGAGCAAAGACAATGATGACCTAGGTGTAAGAAAAGCTAAGTCTAAAAACCTGGCTCTTCTAACAAATATTACTTGGAGAATGTTGAATTATCCTAATTTTCTATGGTCTAGATTATTAATTAATAGTTATTCCAGTAAGTTCTTAAAAGTCAATACATCTTTTATATGGAATAGTATTAATAAGGGATGGTTCTATTGCAGCAAATGAATCCTTTAGGGTATTCACAACAAGTCAAATTTAAAGATTTAGATTTTGCGCTGGATTCCAAATACTTCAGCATTTCAGAACGGCCCTTTAAACATTTCCGATCACAATCTAACAATCAAAGACCTCAGGCTCAATAATAACTGGGACTTCTCTATGTTGTCTTTTACTCTTCCAAACAATATTATTGAGCTCATCTATACAATTCCTCTATTCATGACACCTGCTAATTGCGACACTCCCTTGTGGTCTTTAAATAATAGTGGAATGTTTGCCACCAACTCTTGTTATGAGTTAATTCATAATAATAACAATTGTGACAAAAACTTCACTTGGATCTGAAAGTTACATTGCCCAAATAAAATAAAATTCCTTCTATGGCAATGTTATCATGATAGACTTTCTTGTCGTGCTTATCTTAATCACATTGGCATTAACATTGATGCACTCTGTCCTATGTGCAAAAAAGAGGAAGAAACTATCACTCACATCTTTTACAACTTTACTATTGCTCAAAATTTCTGGAGGAGTCTGGGAGTTCCCAACCTATCGCACTTGGGCAACAGCCACTGGCTCATGGCCCTAAAAAATATGTCTATTACCCCCTCGTATA